ATGCCCCACCTCCTCCTGCCCTGTGACTCCACTCTAGAGCCTGGACCCACACAGTCCTCTTCCAGACATCCTTGTTGGGGTGTCTCCAGCGCTCACTCTTTCCCCAAGCACCCACGGTGGGTTGGCACCTCCCCTGGGGCACTCACTGAACACATTTGAAATCTGCCTGGCTCTGTGTCTTCAGGCCTAGTATCCCCACTTGTAAAACAGAACAGGAACACCCAGTGGTTTTGAAGCTGCTGAAACAGTTCATCGGCCAGCCTGAACTAACGCTGGGGACATCATGCCCTCGTGTGTAGCGTTTTAATCGCTGTATCCTTAGCAGCAAACAGTGCCCACGACTGGTGCCAAAGGCTTTGCTGAGTAACTGGCTGATGTGTAGAATGGCTGAATGTGTAAATAGAACACGAAACAATATTTGCTGTTTTCCCCTAGCAGTCAGGGGACGGGGACCAGGAAGATTCTGAAAGAAACTAATCTTTACTGTCTATCTATCACACATCAATGCTCAACATACACAAGGAAAGATTTCTGCAGAATGAGGAAGCGGCTCGTGGCTAGGATAAGTCAGCGGGCCAGTCTCCTGCAAAGGGAATGAAGACAGACTCCTAGGAGGCGGGGGCATGCTTGCTTGCTGGCTAGCCAGATGCCCCAGGCCTCTCAGTCCTGATCTTAGGCTTTGAAACTCCTGAGGATGGGATGCCTGGGTAGGCAGGGTAGGGGCAACACCCAGCTCCAAGGGTCATGTGTCAACTGCTCAGCTGAGAACTTGGTTTGGGGGATTCAAAGGCTAGAGGTGGGCTGGGCTGGAAGGAGCGCTTGGCTCCTGCCCTGTACAGCCCTGACTGAGGGCTCTACCAGCCCAGTGCCCCAGCAGCTTCTGTGCCCAGCAGGAGTGAAGTCCGGGCTTTCCTTCAGTAACCTGAAGCTTTTCTTTCTCGTCTTGGCCCTCCCTGGCCCCACTATGTCTTCCTGGTTGTTACTCCTCCTGCGGTCCCTCCTCCTTACTCCCACCTCCAGATTCCAAAAACACTCTGATTGCCAGGGTGGGTCAATGGTTAACACTCAGCTGGCTTTATATAAGCTGCTCCGAGTCACCTGCTGTGCACAGTCTCCTTGGTCCTTCAGTTTCGTGGCTCCTGCAGGCGGCTGCTCTGGCAGCCTCAGCCCCGGTGGGCTAGTCCTCACCATGGCCACCTGCTGGCAGGTCCTATGGGCCTATCGTTCCTACTTGATTGCGATATGTCTGCCCATTTTCCTGTTGCCTCTGCCAATCATTGTCCGAACTAAGGTAAGGATTGTGGGTCTCCCTCAGCATAGGTAACTCTAGGGGTGGCAAGGGAGAGATCACTGGGGCCAAAAGGGGGCATCTTTAATTTCCTCTTCACTTCCCCTCCCCTGAAAGTGAAGCCACCACTTCCTGTCTCCCTGGGAGCCAAGGGTGGTTTCATTCAGCACCCAATCCCTGTGCAAAGTGCTCAGGTACATTGGAGCCTGCGGTTTGAGGGACAGAAGCAGTTGCATAAAAGAAATGCAGGAACAGGCAGATGAGTTTCTCTGTGAGATGACGGCTGTGTGTCCACTCCGTCCTGAACTTAGTGCCAACCAGGGACAGAAGAGGCAAATGCATAGCTAGTTTCTGAGAGGGAGGGCAGGAGAAAGCTGGCCTCAGGCAGTTGTACCATCCCAGGGAGAAACAGAACAAGTGCTGACCTGTAGTCTCCAGGTGGGCCACCGAGGAAGAGCCCTTTCTGTGACACGGCTGGTGCACACGGCTCCTGCCTTCTTCCCTACTTCAGAAAGTCATGCATAACCCTGCTCTTATTCATCTGTCTCCTGCCTATACTGTGTGCACCTAGGAGCCTTGTTCCCCATCCTATGAGGCAGGTCCCCCTGTCCCTTCTACAAAAGGGGGGAAAAGTGAGGGTAGAACTCTGTTCTGTGGAGTTTCGGTCATACGCCCTCTTGGGTTCCTCTATAAGAAAATGAACATTAAATAACAAATCTCAGATTAGTCTGGGAGCCTGGGAATATAGTTCAGTAGCAAGGCTCTTTCTTGCCTGCCACAGGCAAGACCCCAGGGTTTGACCCCTAGCAATACCAAAACTAACAAGAAATCCCTAAATTTTAGCAAAATTATCCTGGAGCTTTGGGAAGGAAGCCCCCAAGAGGGTCTCATACCTTAACTTTGCAGTCTAGCTACTTGGGCAGATGGCATGGCTTGAAAGAGACAGAGCTGGAGGTGTGGCCCTGTCCCTAAAGCTGATACTGAATCTTGGCCCTGGACCATCCCACGCCCCCAGGACTGCCCAATGAGCCACTATCTGTTGCTACAGATAGGGAAATCAAGAAAGGCTTTGGTTATGTTATCTCTGAGAGAGGAGGCCCAGAATATGGCCCCTAACACCTGCTTAGGAATAAAGCCTGACTGATTTTTGAGATGACCTTCTCGGGCCCAAACCGGTGGCGTCTCTATGCCGGGAATCTATCAGAGAGATTTCAGACAGGCTGGAACCTGTGTGACACCACCGCCACCGTCCTGGGAGAAGCACACACAGTGCAGAAAGATTCCCTGTTTTGCCCCAGGGTAGGGAAATCCTGAGTTGGAAGCTGTGCCTCTTGGTGGGAAGGAACTGTATTAGGAACCCCGGCCTTCATTCGATTGTACGTGGTCCTGCTACTTGCCTCTGGCACACAGCCTTTGCTTACTCTCTCCTAACTCAACCAACTATCCTAAGAGGCCAGGCCGACCTCTGGACCTTGGGTTCCCACCCCACACAGGAATTCTAACCCTAAATATGATCAATTTCGTCTTCCCTGCTTGGCCGCGCCCATCAGTATATAAACAAGCTATTATGTGTCTCATGTCAAACAAACAAGCTTCCTTCAGCTCACATTCATTCCTTCTCTGAGATGCCCGCCCCCAAGAGCAAGCCTCAGAATGTGCCTGTATGCATACACACCCATATTCTTTCTCTCACCACCTCAGACTCTGCTATCTAAATTCCCATCAGCTTCCAGGGTCCCAACCCAAGGCCCGTGCTCACCTTCCTCAACCCTGAAGCAGGATTTGTCCCAGCTGGTCACATCCTCTTTGCTGTGTTGTCTTCACTTGACTTTGGTGACACCTAGTTTTGCCTCCCCTCCCTCCCATGCCATTCCCAGACTCCTTCTCCATCAGACTCTGCAGGTTTCCCAGCAACCCTCCTGTGCCCCCACACCCCTCCCAACTTCTGGCCAGGTAATTGTATGTTGTCTTATGATCTGAAAAGCATCCTCTAGCCGGGTGTGGTAGCGCCCACCTCTAATCTCAGCATTCGGAAGGTTGAAGTAGCAGGATCATGAGCTCAGCACCAGCCTGGGCTGAGTTGTGAGAACTTGCCTCAAAAACAAAACAAGAACCCCACCCGCCACCCCCAAGTGTCTCGAAGCCCACAAATCCTCAGTCTGGGATCCGACTGCAAACCTCTACAGCTGCATGAGCCAGCTAATTTGGTCACGTGGCCCACAATATTTCTCTATATGAAACCTTTGCTTTTCCCCAACCAGCGTGAAGCTCAGGCCGCCATCTCCAGAAAGCTCTTTCCACAGTCTTGCTGAGACATGTTTTAAGCTACCGCCTTTTGATGCTAGCCTTGACTTAGGTCGTTCTGGTTGGTTCAGCTTCCTCCAGCTGCTCACACAACCAACAGCAGGACCTGTGTGCTCACTGTCCCCTCCACACACTACACATGTTTCCGGTTTATGATCGGATCAAAGGCCAGTAAACTCATTCTAAGTCAAGACTTTTACAAATGGAAAACACACTGAGTGTACCCACTAACACCCACCCACTAATCACAGCCTTGCGATGCAGCGGGGCAAGGCATGGTTTGTTCCTTTTCCTTACTCTGCCCTGGAGCTGTGGCTTGCTACCAACACCCTTTATCACCTCAGATGATCTTACCACAACTCTCCAGCCTGGGGAAAGATCAGTTCGTCACCTCTCCACCTTCCTAAAACCAGGAACTGTCAGAAGTTAGGAACATCTATATTCTGGAAGACAGGGTCCCCACCTGGGCAGTCTCTCTACCCTGTCTTGTCTCACCTGGCCCTGCCTTCCTGCCATCACTTTCCACCCTACTGTCAGGGAATCCCTAAGACCTCCTGCCAACCCCATACAGCCTTCCCAGTACAGTTAGAAATCAATTTGAACTAAAGAAGCCCAAGGCCCCGAGACTCCACACCGGCAAGCCTCCCGCTCAGACTCCATTCCCACCATCCCACCTCTGCTCCCAGCGGCTTCTCTCTGCTCCTGTCTGGGCTCTTCTCCTCCCAGATTCATTCTCCTCCCATTCCTCTTACTTGTATCTCAGAAGCCCTCTGCCCCACTAGTCTCTCTGGCCTTCTATTTGCAGAGAAGTCCCTGTTTAAAAGAGTGTGTCCAGGGCTGGGGTTACGGCTCCGTGGATAGAGAATGCTTGCCTAACATACATGAAACCCTGGGTTTAGACCCCAGCACTGAAGACACTAAGCATGGTGGTACACTTCTGTAATCACAGCAGCTGGGACGTGGAGGCAGGAGAATCAGAAGTTCAGAGACGTCCTTAGCTACACAGTGAGTTTGAAGCTAGCCTGGGATAGACGAGGTTCTGTCTCAAAAAAAAAAGTGTATATTTGTTTACTTTCTTCCTATTTTTTGAAGAAAGGACTTTGACATACTCTCTGCAGACTCCCATGGCTGGGTGTATCAGAGATGTTGGGTGAGTTAATGAAGGAATATGGGCAAAGGAGGAACATTTCCTGAATTCCTATTGAGTCTGCTCTCTGTAATTAGCCCCCAAACGTAAAACTGAGCCTCCTAGCTCTGGCCCCTAGCACGGGAAGGAGAGCCCCCACCGAAGTTCAGCCCTCTGTAATAAAATAGCTAACATTTATTGGATGTGTTTTATGCACTCGGCATCGGGCCAAGCACCTCGAAGCCTTAGCTCACTTGTTTCCCACGGAGGCCTCTGCTCAGCCGTGGTGTTACTGCTGCTGCCTCCATTCCACAGCCATGTAAACTGAGGTCCAGAGGGATGAGGTAATTTGTTTTCAATGTCATCTGTAAGAAAAGAAAAGGTAGAGGCAGTCATCTGGTCTTGGGGTCTCTGCCTGAAGCTGTCTGGAGAGGCAATGAGGCTCCCATTACAGCTCCTCTCAGGCCACCCAGCCAAGAGTTCCACACTCATTCTGTCACCAATGTGAGGGACAGCCTCTCTTTTTCCCAGGGGTAACTGGACAAAAATACACATATTTTACCCCCAACCTCGTCAGGGTCCAAAGTAGGAGGCACGTGTTTGTGCCACACGGATGGCGCCAGGGAGCCAGTGAGCTCAGAGTAGGCAATGACTTCTCCTAAGGAGTCCAAGAGGGCTGAGAAGCCACAAAGGGGCGGGTGAAGCCACCGCCAATGGAGGGCCCCCGAGGGCAGGAATGGGGGAGCATGGGACCAGCAAGAGCCATTAAGTGAAAAGAACGACCATCAGCCTCTTGAACTGCTGTCGCCTTTGACAGCTGACAGGGCCTGCAGTGTGGCATTTGCTCAGCCCTGCAAGCAGAAGCACCCCTGTCCAGAGACCTCCTCCCCACTCTTCTCTTCCCTTACACATAAACCTCGTTCGTACGCAGTTCTGTGAGTGGCAGGCACCATTCATGTTCTGGAAAGAGGGTGTGGAGGAGCCATCTTTCCTATGGGGTGACATGGGACACACACATGCAAATGTACTGCCTGCCCAAGCTTTGCAAGCAGTATGGCAGGTATCGCCATATATGGCCCGGGGAGGAGCTGCCCTCAGTACAGGGCTCAAGTAGGGCCCCCCAGGGAGTGGACAGTTACCCTAAGACCAGAGTGGCAGTAAGAGCCAGATCAACCCAGCTCTGGGTGAAGAATTGTCCAGGCAGAACCTGTAGCAGGTGCAAAGGGCCAATACAGGGGTGAGCTTGGCAAGCTGACTGGGCAAACAACAGTGTTGAGCTGGGGGCCTGCGCCATTACAATGTTGGGATGGTCAAGTTCAGAAAGGAGAGGAGAAGGCAGCCTATGGCAGGCCTGTGAGGCTGGGGAAGAAGTGGGGACTTTGTTCTTCAGGCAATAAGGAGTAAATAGAATAGTCACGTCTATAAATGTCAGCCAAAAATGCAAAAGCCTCTTGGAACCCAAAAGGATCATCTACAAAAAATAGTAATGGCGCCATGTTGGTCAGAGATCGACTGAGACAAACATGTCTCTGCTAAGAACAGAAGAGAGCAGCGTCTTTAATCGCGGGCACAGGATGCACAGTTCTGTGCACTTTAGAACTGGTGATAAGTAAGCATCCTCAGGACAAGCCGAGGCCCAATGGCAGAGGATATCTGTGCAAGGAATTTAGACCCTCTATCATGCTCTGAGGAAGCAGGGTGCAGAGAATAGAGCATGACTTTTGGAGCCAGGTAGATAACCGAGGGCACTTGAGAGCATGTGTGGAGTATATGCTATCACTTATCCCCAGATCTGAACACCACGGCTAGGAGGAGATGCTACAGCCAGCTCCAGGGCTCGGGAAACTCCACGAACTTCCTGTCTGCCGCTGCCTCCTGGAGGCACAGAAGGCCTTGGGCCCTGTGTGGATGGCGCCCTTTCCCATAGCTGCTCAGATGAGCTGTGCCTCCACCAGGGCCTCAGACCCTCCTGTCTATGAAGCAGGGAGGCGTGTCTTGTCACACAACCCCAAGTGGTGAGCTGTGGTCCCTAGGAGCGGCAGAGAGTGGCACCTGGGATGGATGGAGATAAGTTTTGCCTGGAAGATTTAAAAGAGGAGTCACGCCCCCTCCCCAAAGCCAGGAGGTCCCTGAAGTAAAGACAGAAAGTATTCTGACATAGACTTTACCCCCTGATAACTAAAACTTTACCTGGCTCATCAGTGCCCTTAGGAACATTGTGGGAAGGAAGGTAGATTCTAGTGCGGGTGGTAGCCCTGGGCTTCCGTGAGGACCATATTCGCTGAGGGCTGTGGGATTGCCAGTTCACTCAACTTGACTGAGTCCACTCAGACACAGCAAGCCTGGCTCCAGGCACAAACCGTGATGTCAGGAGTTTTCCCCAAAGCTTTGTTAAAACCCTGTGGCAACTGGTTGTGGTGGTGGCACATGCCTACTCAGAAGGCAGAAGCAGGAGGATGTCTGTGAGTTCAAGATCAGCCTGGTCTACAGAGCGAGTTACAGGATAGGCTCCAAAGCTACACAGGGAAGCCATGTCTCAAAAAACAAAAACAAAATAAACCAAAACAAAAAGCCTGTGACATTGTGAGCCCACTGTTTCAATCTGATGTGCCGGAAGCCCCAGCTACTTGGTAGAAGGAGGCAGTTGTTTGAGCCTAGAAGTTCAAGGCCATCTTGAGCGATACAGTGAGACCTGGACAAGGAGAAAGGGAAAGAGAGAGGTGGGTGTCTTTAAGATTTTTCAAGTGATTGGCTAAAACTCTGTGACTGTGAAGAGTTGGAATGTGGCCGATCAAGAATTGCAGAATTACCTTCAGTTCCCGTAGTAGTGGCCACTTGCTACTCAGCTCAGTATCTACCCTACCATCGTCTCAATGGCAAGGTAAGGCTGATAGAATCCTTAGAATCCTAGGAGCCTCTGCTAAGCCTGGAGCTGAGAAAGCCATCAGCCTCTCGTTGCCTTTCCCTACCAGTGTATTCAGGAAATGATTTGGTATCAGACTTTCTTCTGCTCTGCAATCAAAATTGTGCATGTACCCAGGTGTGGTGGTACAGCCAGGCGGTGGTGGTGCACACCTTTAATCCCAGCACTCGGGAGACGGAGGTAGGACGATCTCTGTGAGTTCGAGGCCAGCCTAGTCTACTGATCAAGTTCCTGGACAGTCAGGGCTACATACTGAGGCCCTGTCTCAAAAACATCAAGAAAAATATAAGTGCACATGACCTTTCCCAGACCTGCACCTGGCCAAGGATGTTCACGCCTGCCAAGGATGCTTACACTTGGAACAACAGACCCTTCTTTCTGAAAGAGCTTTGTTTTGGAAGTGTAGGGGTTGGATGGAGAAGATGGGTGGTGACTTTCTCTAGTTCCCAGAAGGTAGAGTGAAGAAGCCAAGAGGAACCAAGTAAATGGCACTCACCCAAACGAGAATAAGGCTGTAGTCGCCATCACTGTGCTTGGCAGAGCCTCAAAGGCAGGCAGGGGCACGGGAGGCTTTTGTGGGGATGATGGCTTCCGGTGCCCCTCATGGAGGCTGCTGGGGAAGGCCTAGAAGAGAGTCACACAGGGCCATTGCTTGGTGAGGTGATACTTGGCTGTTTCTGGCTAGCTTGGAGTTGAGAATGGGAGAGAGGAAAAGGACACACTCCTGCTGAGAGTTAAAGAAGCTGGATGTAAGGATAGGGCTCTGAGCCAGGTGTTTCAGAGACTTGGAGACAAATTCTCATAGCTGAACTGGCCATTGTCCCCTTTGTGATATTCATCGATTCGGTCATCAAAGGTATTGGGCAATTAACATCTGCCTGTTATTCCTGGGAAGGATCACACACACACAAACACACATACACACACACACACACACACACACACACACACCCGAGTTCTCTCTTCATTTCAGTGTAGCTCATTTTCTTCGAAGTTCTGTGTTGTTTTACTTTGTACATTTTAAAAGTTTAGTCTGAGGAAATGCAAGGCTCCTTCAGGTGTGAAGGGGTCCTGGTTCCCTCCCAGGGTAAGAAGCCCTCCAAGGTCCCTCGTGTGTATACAAATGGTGGGCTCTCACATGCCCACCATAGCACCCGTGCGGCCTTCCTCCTTTCCCTTCTCCTTTCCTTCATTATTCTTTTCCTTCTTGGGCTGAGTCGGAGCCCAGAACCTCTCGTGCTAAGCAAAGTCTCTGCTGCCAAAGTTTTCCCGGCCTTTGTACAATCAGGTAATTAAAAGACCAGGCTGCCATCTGTCCCTGTTTCAGCCTCCCATTTCCATGGTCCTGTCTCTAGATAAAGTTCTTGACCTCTCTCGAGGCAGACAGAACTCTTTTTAAGTACGTACATCTTCAGGAACCTGACTTAGGCCTACCTCAACCCCTGGATGTCTTCTCCAGTCTAGCAGTAGGGGGCTCAGGAAAGGTCATTTCCCCTTGGGACTCTCACTCTTCCGGTCTGTCCTTTGCAGCAGTGCCTGTCAGGTTACAGCCTAAATGCCCCAGCTTCCTCCAGGCCCTGGGAATGTCCCTGTACCCTACAGTAGCATCCATGTACTAGAGTCCAGGGACAATGGAAATGCCCCGCTGTAAGCCAACCATCCCCACCCCAAGTTAACCTTCAATCCCCAGCAGGGACACATTTGAGACTGTGGGTGTTTGCTCCTGCCTCAGAGCCATGTGCTGCCTGCACGGTGTCTGTGATGGGTAAAGGCCATATCACCCACAGCCCTTCCCTTCCCTGCCTTTTCTATTCCCCAGGGTCCAGAGTCTGCCCTGGTTTCTCTGGCACCCTCATTTCCATGTGTGCCTCATATAGTCACCTGGTTCTCTAAAAGTTCAAAGCTACTCTCCAGTGAACCCTGCCCTCTGTGTCCTAGGTGCACCCCACCTCCACCCCTCCCTACCTGCTCCCCACTTCCTCCCTATCCTATCCCCACCAGAAAAACTGTCTCTTCACTTCCTATGCATGTATGGCTGGAAACGCTTCGTAGTGTTTTTTAGGGTTAAAAAAAAAAGCTCCAAGAGAGGTTAAGTGACTTGTTCAAAGACGTACAGTAATAAATCTGGGTCTGGGTTCTTAGGTTTGCTGAATAGACTTTTTTTTCACTGTGAAAGAACCCTCCAACCTATACCTGGAGGATCCTCAAAGGAGCTAGTCTTCCTGTCCCCTGCTGACTCTGCAGGCCAGCCCACACAGACTCCCTGAAGACCAAGCTGGGTATATATATATATCACGCTTCCCCCCGCCCCCCGAGACAGGGTTCTGTGAAACAGCCCTATCTGTCCTGGAACTCGCTCTATAGACCAGGCTGGCCTCAAACTCACAAAGATCCCCCTGCCTCTGCCTCTTGAGTTCTGGGATTAAAGGTGTGCGCCACCACCTGTTATCATTGCCTTTTAATGCTGGGCATTGGCTCACCCTTTTGGCAGAAACAGCCTTGGACAGCTTATGGTCCAGTGACAAAAATTAATACCCATTTATTTCATAAAGCTAAATGCTGCCAAGCAAGGCGGCACACACATGTCATCCCAGCACCTGGGAGGCAGAGACCAAGAGATCCCATCCATGACCCATTGAGTGAGCCTCACTCTAAAAAAAAGATGGGGAGGGGATCCCCTGAAAAAGGAATACCCAACTAAGATCTAGGAATGAACTGATGTCAACGAGGCAAAATGGGGAGGAAAAGGAAGTCTAAAGAGAGGGACCTCTGCAAAGATCTCTGTGGCCAGACAGAGGACGGAGTGCTCGAGGAAATCCAGGGAGACCAATGCCTGCTGAAGTGGAGCAGAGTAGGCAAGATCAGAGTGTTGTGAGTAAGGCACCCAGACCCAGCTGTGGGACTCGGTGGTAGAGCATACCCCTCAGCTCTGAGACCCCTAAACAACAAAAAATAGTTACTACAATAAGAATAAACTGCTTTAGTGTTACAGAGAGGACCCAGAACTGGAAACAGCTCCCCTCCTGGGCCTAGGAAGCAGAAGGCAGAAAGGCTCAGCACAAAACTCTCTGCTGTTTACTGAGCCCTGGACCCAGGACACCCCTAGCACAGTCTCTGCCTTCGCTCCAAATGGGAAACTGTGCTCCTGGGATCTGTACCACATAGTGGTCCTATGGTGCTAGGGGGCTGCCAGAGGCCAGATGTAAGCCACTGGGGCTTCGTGTCAGGGTTGCCAGTCCCCAGTGTGGCTTGGAATCCCTGGATTCCCCATTCCTAGAGCTGGGGATGCCGACCTGGAATCAGACATATTGTGGGACAGAGCAAAAAGGTCCACCAATGCCTCTAGCAGTGCCCAAAGGGTGGCATCTAAACACAGAGCCTTGCAGCTCCAAGCTGGACCGTCCCACCTACAACAAGTGCGTCACTTCTATTTTTCCCAGAATATTACTTGCAAAGGAAAGCAGTTAGGAATCCTGATTTCCAGGAAAACCCTGTTGCGTTTTTTTTTTGTTTGTTTGTTTTGTTTTTTGTTTATTCGAGACAGGGTTTCTCTGTAGCTTTGGAGCCTGTCCTGGAACTAACTCTTGTAGACCAGGCTGGCCTCAAACTCCCAGAGATCCGCCTGCCTCTGCCTCCCGAGTGCTGGGATTAAAGGCATGCGCCACCACCGCCCGGCCCTGTTGTGGTTTTAAAATACACATTCATTGTTGGTGCCTTAGAGGAAAGTACGGTGTAGAAACTACTGCATTGCCAAACAGTGACAGTGTAAACAGCATGCTGACTAGATTGGGAGGTAGCTGCTGGAACTGATGTGGGCAAGCGTCCAGTGTCTGATAGCTACAATCCAATATCTGCGACAGAGCCAGGCCTGGTGGCACATGCCTGTAGTCCCAGCTACTTGGGAAACTGAAGTCACTTGAGTCCCAGAGTTTGAGGCTAACATGGATAACTTAGTGAGACTCTGTCTCAGAAGCAAAATATCTGTAACAAAGTCCCCCAAAATAATGATGACAAGGAGCTGGGGAGACATCTCAGTGTGTAAAGGGATTTCTGGGAAAAACGAGTCACAGATCCCCAGTGCCTGAGTTTAAAAACAAGTGCAGGGGCTGGAGAGGTGGCTCAGAGGTTAAGAGCACTGCCTGTTCTTCCAGAGGTCGTGAGTTCAATTCCTAGCAACCACATGGTGGCTCACAGCCATCTATAATGAGATCTGGTGCCCTGTGATCCCAACTGTGTGGTGCTGGAGACAGGAGAATCCCTGAGATCCTTAAGGCTTGCACATGAAACGTGAAAACCATACAGATAAGCCTCAGCTTCATAAGCCTGTTTTTCTTTTGTTGGTGTTGTTTTGTTTTTGAAACAGAATTTCTCTGCCCGAGCTGTCCTGGACTCATTCTGTAGACCAGGCTGGCCTCAAACTCACAGAGATCTGCCTGCCTCTACCTCCTGAGTGCTGGGATTAAAGGTGTGCGCCACCACCATCCGGCCATGAACCTGTTTTAAGTTCAGATACTTCTAAGCTAAAGCAGACAACTGCCTTGCCCGCTCAGACATCCTCAGAATGCTTCGCTTGTCTATGTGGGCAAACTCATCCAGCACAAACCTACATTTTTGTTTTTGGATTTTGAGTTATTTTATACATATGTGTCTGTTTATATATAGTGTGTATGCACACATATGTGCTGTACATGTATGTGGAGGTCAGAGAACGGCTTGAGAATTGGCTCTCTTTCCACCATGTGAATTCTAAGTTTTGAACTCAGGTTATCGGACTCGACAGCAAGTTTCTCTGCACACTGGGCCATCTTTCTGGCTGTTTTTGTTTCTTTTTCTTTTTTTTTCCTTTTTCTTTCTTTTTTTTTCTTTTTCTTTGAGTAAAGGTCTCATATAGCCCTGAGTATGGCCTTGAAATCCGACCCTTCTGCCTACCATGCCAATACTAGGCACCGCCACGCTGGCACAAGCACCGCACAAAGCCTACTTTATAATGAAGTGTTGAACGCCTCTTTTTATTTATTGAACACTGAATTCAAAGTTAAAGACAGAGTGGTCATACATTGAGAACAAGGTATAGCAAGATATGGAAGGCTGTGGAAAGGTGTGTTAGTATGGGAAGGCGTGGTAAGGCGTGGTAAGGCATGGTAAGTATGATAAGATGTGGCAAAGTATGATAAGGTGTGGCAAAGTATGATAAGGTGTGGCAAAGAATGACAAGGTGTGGTAAGGTATGGTATAGTATGGTATAGCGTGGCAAAATATGGTAAGATACACTAAGGTATAGTAAGATGTGGTAATGGATGGTACAGGGTTGGTAAAATATGGTAAGGCATCTTAAAACATGGTAAAGTATGGTAAGGCGTGGCAAAATATGGTGAGATGTGGTAATGCATGGTAAGAAGATGGTAAGATGGGGCACAGTTTGGTGAAGTATGGTGATGTCTGGAAATGTATGGTAAGGTGTTCATGGTAAGGTAAATCACTTCATGGTAAGGTGTAGCAAGGTATGGTTCCTAGTGAATGCTCATCAGTTTGAACATTACGGTGTAGAAGACTCACAGTGGAGCCATGTGTGAGACAGGACAATCTCTGCTGACTTTGTCGGCTACGCTCATAGCCTTCACAAGATGCTCCCAAAGAGAGAGCATAGTTCTTCCATCAAAGTTCATGGGTCCTCAGGATTCCACGTCCAAGCTGAGAACCCATAATCCAGGGAGAACAAGCTTTGGCAGTTTTTTGTTTTGTTTTGTTTCTTGCATTTGTTTTGTTTTCATTTTGTTTTGGTTTTGGTTTTTGAGCCAGGGTCCCTGTGTAGCCCTGACTGTCTGGGGACTCACTCTGAAGACCAGGTTGGCCTAGAACTCAGAGATCTGCCTACCTCTGCCTCCTGGGTGCTGGGATTAAGCACTACCACCCGACCGTGTCTTTCTCTTTTCATCTGTGAACTGGGGAGAGCATTTGGGACCTCAAGGAACAGCTGAATGTTACTGAAAAGCATTTCAAACCCACTGGTCATGGGACTTGGCAGGGAGACGGCTTGGGATGCTCAGCAGGGCAGTTTTTCTGGAATCAGCAGTGTTGACCCCTAACCTCCTTCTGTCTCTGGTCAGACAGCATGAGGGTACAGAGGGGATGGCCTGTCCTTAGTCTGAGGGGTGGTGGGTAAGCAGTTGTCTGTCCAACCAAGGCAAGTACAGAAGAGCAAGGAAAAACTGGCATCAGCAGAAACCAGCTGGTCGAGGAAAGAGGTGGATCTCTGGTCAAGGGTCATGGGGGCCCTACCCCTGAGCTAATGAGTTCAGGTTCAATGCTAGAAGGGGCAGAGATTGAGTGTGTTCAATCAATTTCTGGCATCGCTAAACAAACGAGAGCTTGCCCAGAGACAGCCAAGAGCATGGCACCCAGTACAGCTCCAAGAGCACCTTCCTATGTGTTTCTGAGGGTGTGTTCTCTGGAACCCTCGGCCTTATGCAATCCTGCCACTCAAGCCGAGTGCCTGTTCTAATTCCTGTCCTAACTCAGCCACTCCTCAGCTGTCCTGAGACC